ATTGTTATAATAATTTTTTATTATATCTCTATGTATGTATGAATAGCTCATTGATGATAAGGCTTTAATTAAGAAATATCGTATGGAAATTATACAATTATAATAATACAATTAATAAGAGTAACAAAATCAACACATCAAATAATTTTACTTACTTGATTGTATCTTTAACTCCACGATCAAATAAAGCTTTATTATCGCTACCTGTGAAAATCTCATCTAAATGTGATAACATATAGATAGTGTAAAAATTGATGTATATAGTTCATTTCCAATTATAAAAATTATAATGATTATGTGTATAACACACAGTGCATGCATACAAACCATAAAAAAATTCACTTATTTGTTTACGATTCTTTTCAGCAAAAATTTGTTCTAATGATAATTTGTGTTCATTGAAATCAACGTCCCAAATGTTAAAATCGGTTCTAGTAAGTTCAGTTTCATTTGGTGGTCGTAATCGAACAGTAACTTTGACGTTTTCTCGAGCAGTTGCTGTTGGTGCCATTGTTATTTATTATTAGAAGTATATTTTATTTTTATTATTGGTATTATTAATTATTTTTATTTCATTTACAAATATAAATTTGTTGACATTTTTTTCAAATTTGAGTAACTGGTGATCAGGGTCTAAAATTAATATTAAGCGCGTCATAATTAAGTTTGTGACCTGCAAATGGAAATATATACACGGTCAATATAATAGAAAGGTTTTTTGTACCACCTAAAATTTTATCACGAATTAATTTAAATAACCCTTTTGGTTGGTAAAATCCAAATTATAAAATATTCAGAAAAAAATAATGGACAGAGCAGTCAAAGGAGCAACTAAATCAAAATGTGCAGCACCTAAACAAAAATATCTTGAGGGTAAAATTTTCTCATCTTTGACATTTATAATTTTAAATTCTATTGGTATTTTAATTTACATATTATTTATATAGTTCTCATACCAGCAACTTCAAGTAGTGATGCTTTGAAAACAATATTTGCGTCATTAGAACATCGTTTACGAGAAAATTCTTGGACGGTAAGTATTCGCTATATAAAGAGAATAATTTTAGCGAAAAACTTGTTAATTGTTAATTTATTAACACTAATTGACTTAAATTTTTTTTTTTTTGAAATAAGATCGTATTCAAAAG